CGACGCGAGACGCGTCGAGGGAGTCAATTTTAGAGTTATTCAGGGTAAACTGCATCGAGGAGTACAGAATGTTGAGTGGGTACCGCGGGTACGGCGGGCAGTGGTATTTTGGACTTTTCCCTATTTTATATTCGACATGTAGTGAGACGCAGTCGCCAAGCCTGGACGCCACCAAACATCAACTAACTGTGATCTGTAAGCATTCTTACATTCTTTGACCTGCGCTTGTATTAGACGTTACCAAATTGACCCTGCAGAATCCGGTCGGAATGTTAGATACGCCATGTCGTTAAATAAGCCCGTATTCAATACGAGCAGTGCAAGTAATTTGACTGCAAATGTTATTCGAGCTGATCATGATATATGAACCAAATAATTGCAATTTCGTTGCTAATCAAAGTGCAGAGATCCTATGACGTAATGAATTATTATTTATGCGTGGGTTGATTTTGTAGTCTCTAAATCCTGACTACTTCCTGTAGGAATATACTCAGCCATGTAGCGCAAGTAATATCATATAAAAAGAGCACAGGTTGAATCTGATATACGACTGTGGTGCGAGCATTGAGCGATGACTGTACTGTGAGGCAGGTCACTTGTTAAGCTCACGGCTCTTGATGATTTGATCAATACTTGTGATTGTTACGAACGAGACTTGCCCTGCACTGCTCGGTAACGCATAGAGATGGCCTGAAAACTCATTATTGGTTATGGTAATTCATTACCAGTCGTGTTCCGACGAGAGCCAGGCGGACATACTTTTACTTGCACGTGCGGACCACCAAACACAATATTGCAGAAGTCGCGTTGTTAGCTGGCAGGCAGTACCTGTGGTTTGTACTGGTTTGTATTGGATACTTTAGGTTAATGCTCGGGCCTGCGGAAAAGCCGATCTATAGATTGCCTGAATATACCTCGACCGTTAAAGCCAACCGCCAGCTAAAATGCGAGAGACGACCAGGGCAAAGTACTGCAAATTATTATTGCGTCACGTGAAAACTAGTCGATACGCAGCCGGGTAACTCGCAGCTCCCCGCTCTTATCGGCTCATAGAAAGCATAACGGTACGAAGCGCGACTACTGGCGTCATCGAAAGTATAACCTTGTCGCATCTCAGCCATCGTGACTCGCGAAATCGGTCTCGAGACCGACAATCTCTCTTGCAAATTCCCGCCACGACTCGGCGTACTCGTCTACAGTATCTATCGATCATACTTGCGAACTCGTCATCTGCAACTTGTCCGTCGGCACTAGTAGTGGTTTTGCTTGCCTGTTCACTGCATGTCGTCCAGCATTCGTTGACCTCTCCTATACTCAGCCGTCATTCTGCGACCGGCCAGCGATGATCGCGTTGTCATTGCCACGGCAGGCTCTTCACCTCGCCTTCCCATGCATCCTGCTTATTATGGCACTTTCATTTTTTGTGCATGCTGAGGTTGCCGTTGTTGGCGGCTCGGATGAGACTCGACTGCCGTCCAGCCCGATGCTGAAAATGCAGTACACGCCTTACCAGCTATTGTCCTTTAAGACCGCAGCAGATGGCTTAGAGGTATGCGCACTGACTTTCTCTACTGGGTAATATATGTTTCTAATATACATCACCTCTAAGTGTTCCGATGTTTTAAAAGCAAAAAATAAGTGCGCCTTTGTCAAGCAGTATTGTGCCGAAGACCAACTAGGGCTTTTCAACTACCTCGAGCTGTACTATTGCACCTTTGCTGACGCAAAGCCTATTGCATTTGTTATTATCACTGTATGGCTAATCGCAGTATTCACGACAATCGGCATCACTGCAAGTGACTTTCTCTGTCCCAATCTTAACACTATATCCGACCTTCTCGGTATGTCGGAGAGTTTAGCTGGCGTCACTTTCCTCGCACTTGGCAATGGATCTCCGGACGTTTTTAGCACTTATGCGGCCATGAAGACCGGTAGTGGATCGTTGGCTGTTGGAGAACTAATTGGCGCTGCGTCGTTTATAACCTCGGTGGTAGCGGGCTCTATGGCGATCATATGCCCATTCACTGTTAACTGGGCCTCGTTCTTACGTGAATTGGGCTTTTTCACCGTTGCCGTTGCATTTGCAATGTATTGCTTGCAAGATGGTCGTATCGCCCTATGGGAATGTACAGCAATGGTTGTTTTCTACCTTGTGTACGTCATATTCGTGGTCTCATGGCATTGGTGGCTTACGCGCGGTGACCGGTCTATATCGACACCAATTCACCACGATGATCAGCTTGCAACCACACCAGACAGCTTTGGTTCCGAGCAACAGCTGGCGTATTTTTCGAATGTCGTCGACAGCAGGGGTTTAGGCGAGCAAGAAGTAGAATCTGCACCACTATTGGGCACTGCTCCCTCGTCTTCGAGTATGGACATCGAACAAGCGCTTGACCGATATCATCTCCGGACTTTACAGGAAGGCACGTATGGAGAAATTGCGCAGACCATGCGACTTCAGCGGCCGTGGAACAATAGTCATAGTGGATACGGATATGGTGAATCGCCAAGTCTGGCCTCGTCTGTACCTGTCCGGCCCTCATTGATTGGTGCTCTAGAATTGCGATCTGCAGTACAGCGAGGAAGGAAGGCAATGAGATTGGACGAGGAAGCTGTATCACGGCATTTCAGAAACCGATCGGTCAGTCAAGGATTCTCACGGCGTCATAAACCTCTCCATGCACACAGATTAAGCGTCGATCACATCATATCTACAGGGGTATCCTCGCGATATTCATACGGCCAGGAAAATGTTAGGGGCCATAAGTTTAGATCTCATTCGGCAATAGAGACTGGAGATCTGGCTTACTTCAGCGACGGCAGCCGCCCATCGTCGAGAGCATCGTCTCGATCGCCGCCCTATTTTGCCGCGACTTTTCCTCGGCCCTCCTCATCGGCTATGGCGCAATATCATCAAGGCGAAATGAGTGCTGCTGCTCTTGCGTCACCGTCACTACAGCCTCTACGGAGTCCCTCGGTATCGTCGCCTGTTCGACAGAACGCATCACACTCTCAATCATCACTAACTGCGATGCCGTCAATATTCGGTCCCAGAAGTCGATCGAATTCTTCGCAGACAGAGCGAGGAATGTCACCCTATGGTCGTTCCGGACGTTCAAAAAAAACGCATGCGCGGAATACAAGCAGTTTAAGCAGGAGATCAAGGTCGACTTCTCCGTTCGACAGATTCTTGGCGTTTCAGCCACCATTACCGGTTTCGTCAGAGGTTCCTCAAGGTGTAAGCCGGATACCTCAAGAAGACTTGGTATTTTTTGATGATAGAAGTAGCAGATATAGTGATGCACCGGCTTCGTCAGGCGTGGGTCTTCTGGATATTCCAGAGCCTGATCACAATGAGACGATGTCTAATATTTCGGAGGTAGACTCCCAGATATCGGACGTTTCTTCACGATGGTCGATCTGGTTCTGTGTTCCTCGTCCATGCGACGTAAAGAAGGCACTGTTTCCAACAATTGACCGTTTGCATGAAAAGACCAATCTCAACAAGTTCGTCAGTATCATTGTCGTTCCCAGCGTGCTCCTTCTCACCATCACTGTCCCGGTTGTGGAAGCAGAGCGGTTGGAGCACGAGGATAACGAGGCTTTCGAAATTCCTCAGGTATATGTCGATGGCGGCGGCAACTCTGCAGACGACGACAGTCCTGACGAGGTGGATGGGAATGTAAGCGCGATGGGGCAGACGAGATTCAAAGGTTGGAATAAGTGGCTGACGTGCGTACAATGCTTATTTGGTCCGCTTGGCATTTTATACATGAACTGGTATGACGTTGACAATCTGTTGCAAACTACTGTTTACGTAGCCCTTGGTAGTTTGATTGCCCTAGCTTGGTTGTTGAGATTCACGGAGACTCACAAACCACCTGTGAAGCTTCTGCCGGCATTGTGCTTCGTTGGTTTCATCGTCAGCATCTCGTGGATTTCTGCCATCGCTGTTGAAGCTGTTGGTATCTTGAAGGCATATGGTGTTATCTTTGGCATCAGTGACGCTATTCTCGGTCTCACTATCTTTGCTTTGGTTCGCTCCCGCGGTGTATTTGTACAACTTGATAAAGTCAGTGTCTAACTTGATTGTTTTAGGGCAACTCGCTTGGCGATTATGTCTCAAACATCACAGTGGCTAAAATGGGATATCCAATGATGGCCATCAGCGCTTGTTTTGGTAGTCCCATGTTAAATATTCTTATCGGTATCGGTGTTTCCGGCATTATCATTCTTCCGAATAGCTCCGACTACATTGACGACGATGCCTACAACCTTGAGATCGCGCCATCACTGATTATATCTGCGGCTACGTTGTTCTTGAACCTTCTTCTGTTCTTGACCTGTGTTCCACTCAGCAAATGGCGTATGACCAGAACTATCGGTATCGCAAGCGTGTCGCTGTGGATCGTCGGCACCTGCATCAACGTCGTCCTGGAAATTATGACAATGTCCCGATAAAATCACTACAAGAAGAAAAAATTTTGTATAATACCGGGTTCTCCTTTATATGTCCTTTTCATATTTGACTTTGAATTTTATTTATTTTTGTTCAGTATGGTTGTGTGTATTCGACAGGTCTTTTGTTTTCTACTTTCAAGTTTGAATTTTTGGGATGTATCTGTTTGGCCGATGTATTGTTAGATTAGGATCATATCTCAATGTTCCATGTGCGTATGTTCTGCGTCACCGCCTAGTTGGTTCTTGGTTTATATTTATACATATGTGTATGCGACTTTTTGTTGTAGATCTGCGAATATTATTTTTATGTATTGAGCAGTCTTCTCGATACTCCAATGCACTAACGAATATGTGAAGTTCCGTTGATTTCTCTATGGTTCTGATCCGATATAACGGTAGTATCTTGACTGCTCTATACGAAGAAAAATATAACTTAGCTACAGCTTTCATACGTTAAATGTTCAATGCTTCTTGATTATACTCTGATACCTTATAATTTTGTTTCAACAAGTAACCAAAAATCTAAAAATTTAAAGCTTCCCTGCCAGGGGTCGAACCTGGAATCTCCCGCTTTGACATTAGCACATCGTAGGCGGACGCCTTGCCATTGGGCCACAAGGAACAGGTAATACTTCGGCTTTGGAGCTGGGCAACATTCGCGCTTACTGCTCTGCATTTCATGGTCGGGCTACCCGCACCAGACCGTCCAGGCCGTGACGCATTCGTGTGTTCCGTGGGAGCTGTGGCTCCGGGGTCCGCACTTCCCGGACCACTTGTTCTTTCACTGCTCGGTCTCAACACATCTGGAGTTTAGAGGCCGAGCATCTCCACATTCTGCATCCTCCGTTAGTCTCGGCAGCGACCCTCGCTCTCGGCCGGCCGCCGGTGGTCTTCGAGAACGTTCTACTCTACGGACACCTGGTGTGGATGTCGTACCGGCGTCGTGTTCGATGCACTGGTCCGCCGCTTCTTACAGCGCCAACAGTACGAAGAGCCCTGGGAATGAGGAGCTCTATGGGCGACCGTGTTCTTCACATTCGTTTTTTTATTTTCTGTCCTTTTCTTCGTTTCCTGGGCCTTCTATGTACATAGGAATCGGTTCGTGGTTTACAAATGTGGTACCATCGTATGTACATGTTCATTCGTTTTTCGGGCTCGTGGAGGGCCTTTTGTCGTTCGTTGTTTCGCTGTTTTTCGGGCTTGTTGTATCTATATATATAGCAATAGAACGAGCCTTTTCCAAAAAAAAAATCATGTAGGCAACTACAGGGCTAGGGTCTATCCCCGAAGCAGCCCAAAGGACGATATCCGATCCTATTTCCGTCAAGAACTCATACTCTCGGATCGTCTTCAAGGCTTTAAATACGCTACTCCTCAAGGTTCTCCCCAGAGTAAAGTCCCAGAGTAAGGTCCCAGAGTAAACCAGATTAATCCCTGGCCGGTGGATCGGAACAAGCACTGAGCAGCTGCTTTTCCGGTATACTTCCACGCCGCCATGCCGTCTTTGGACTTCAAGAAAGCCTTTACGACCGAGGAAATCCCCACTATCTAGATACCGTACTCCATCACATGGGTATACCGGATCGTTTCCGTAGGTGCCTCATGGCCACAGTTGCGGGTCCCGTATCCATGTCAACGACACTTACACGCGTCTCTTTTCTCTCAACAGCCGGAGTGCGACGAGGCAATCCTGTCTCTCCCTTCTTGTTTGCGCTCGCCATTGAACCCGGCCGATTCCTCCGCTCGCACATGACCATCATCGATCTCTTCGGCGTCCGGTTCCGATAGAGTTTATTGCTGACGATCTGGACATCTTTCTCCAGAGCTTACATGAGCACCCTGTCTGCAGCTTTAGGGATCTATTACTGGGTTATGAGCCCTGGTGCAATGTCAGAGACGCAGACTCTTATGAATGCAGTTATCGGTGGAGTTCGGGTATTGCGGAGACTCTCCAAAACTCCACGGAGTGGAAACAATTGTTGTGAAGGAAGCAGAACAAGGTTTTGCATCTGCGTACGCTCCAGCTCACCGTTTCGGCATTGTTGGTGAATATGGAAGCGCCATATCAACAGGGTTTCTCAACAACAAGAAAGCTTTTGATATTTGAAATGAACTGGCATACCAGTTCGCTCTCATCTGGGCAGCCTCGAAGCCCCAGTTGATGTGCGCACTCTTTCCACGAATATGTGGAAAAACATTTCTTCTACATGACTCAAACTTCTTCGAGACTATCTTGCGGTGGTCGGCATGTAAATCGACGATTGTCATGTTCATCGAATCCGGCGGTCGACTCAGCCTGGGCCCCGACGGATGGGTTTTTCCCCGCAACACAGTTCCCTGTTCTTGCCGATGGCTCCTTTCGTTACTAGGTGTCCCCGTAGGTTGGCATTCTGACGTGGCTGGCTCATGGATGCCCCGGTTCAATATACTACACTCCGGATCCAGGATCCTCCAAATTCCGATGTTCGACCTTCCACATGCCAAGGTGTCGCCTCATAAGCACATTCTGCTTTTCCAAGGTATACATTTGTTCCCATCTCACGCGACACCTTGGATGCCCACCAGTGTCGAGGCAACTACGGTCAGTGGTGGGAGCGTCGACGTATGCTTCCGAGTCCTCTCCTACTCCGCCACCCTCAGGATTTTCGACCTATCCCTTCAATTGCAGAGCGCTGGGCGTGCCCGCCCGCAATGGGTCTGCCGTCTTCTTTTGAGCTCGACGACATTGTGGGTCCCATCCTTCGCCTCTTAACGCCTATAACCTTGCTGGCTGGCGATGGACTGTCGGCTTTCTTCCAGCTACCAACCTCACCGGCCACTATCACGCGATCTTTGACCGCGCTGCGAGTTAAATCCACCGGGCCTTACTCCCTACGGTGGCAGACGTATCTCGCTGCCTGGTGCAGTCTTGTTGGCACTGGATTTTTCTACAGCTGACTGACCTTCCAACTCTCCGCGACCTCCGGTCGACCGATGTCACATACGCCACCAATGGAGTGGTTTTCTATGGGGCACTGTGTCCCTGCCGTTCCTCCCCTGGCGTCCCACTTCCACAACATCCGGCGTGAGTATCTCACCGCTGGCATTCCCCTTGGTGGTGATGCTCTTTGGGAGCGCCGCATCCAGGCCGCTATTCTTGCAGCTGCCTGGGGCCCCGATTAGGTCAGCTTATCCTCGCTGCTAACATCTTCATAGTCCCCAACTCCGTTACTTACACTGGCCATCCACAAAGTAAGTGTAATTCCTTCGTCACCGCTCTTGGTTGCATGACCTGGCACTCGCAGACTCCCTACTGTTCACTGCAGCGTCTTGTGGCTCCCTGTATCACCTCTTTTTATCTGCGCCGCCTCTGCTTGTATGGACGACGATGACCGCTTGCCTTGGTCTGCCTGCGCCGCCGCCATTATCCGCTACCCGGCTCGCGGCCTGCCGGCCCCCGACCGACGTGCGACACGCGTTTGGCAGTTCAGATCGTGTGGACCGCTTATCTCAGGCGCCGTCGCTCCCGCCATCCTCCTTGCGTCTAGCCACCGGATTTCTGGGTGCTGCTTCGGTCTCAGCACGCGCCATTTCGAACATCCACGGGAGTAAGGCTCTTGCGCATATATCTTTGGTTTGTATTTTTTTTTGTCATAGTTGTCCTTGTCGTCCTCTCGGACGACTCACTTACTGCTACGCTGGGTCCCTTTTCCCCCTGCCGCCTTCTAATCCTTCCCTGACCCGCTTGTGCGAACAGTGCCGCGCCTCGCTCGCGTCTGTTGTGCGTTGGTCGTTGGCCATGTCACCCAATTCCGTTCTCTCTCTTCTCGCGCTGAACTTTTCCTGCATTCCGGTTGCCTCACCTGGAGGTTGGCTCGCTCCATCTCTCTCCACTCTGCCCCGTCCTCACTGGCCGCGGGCGTAGATGGTCGTCTCCGCGGAGGGGATCCTAGGAATGACGATAAAGTACACGCGGAATGGCCGACATCTAAAAATCTGAAAGTCTTCAGCGATTCTTGGGCATTGCCAATTTTTACCAACGATTCACCATGAATCCTCGAAGAAGCACCAAGCGTTTTCACCATTGTTGAAGCAAGTGCTTACTTCCAATGGACTCCGGTAATGGATGAAGGCGCCAATTACGATGGTCCGGACTGTCGGGTAACTTCGGATTCAGCGTCTTTCCGGAAGGGCAAGTAGAATGGACGTGCTGATCCCCACCCGAAGATGGTCCGACGAATCCCGATGATCCTCATGCCGCAACCGTACATTGCCCTCAACGTCATGCGTTTGACCGCTGTCCAACTCATCGCAGTACCAGATTACGAGTTGGGAGATCTTGTTTGACGGGCGATGACAACAGATGACGTGCTATAGACAATAGTACAGCATAGAAGCGAAAAATCTGACACGGGTTGGCTCGGTTGGCGTCCCGGCTTTTTGGCCCAGACGGCGGTTGGTGCCTCGCCGGCGAGCATCTTCTGTCTATCTTCGTTCCTTTCTTTGTGTCATCTACGGGTTTATTGTTTGTTCCGCCAGCAACTGTAATATTATATAGTAGTTAACTGGCTTACAATCAAACAAAATTTTACTTCTATACAAATACGTGCATTCTGCGGTTTTTTTTAAAAACCAAAGTGAACTTGGTCCTTGCTTTCGATTGCTGGCTAGATGACAGCTGGTGCATTGGTTGGCGTTTTGTTTCGAGTAGCATTACGACGGGTGGTGCCATTATGAGTTCAGAGTGATGGCTCTTTGAAAATCGTATTTTTGAGACTTAATAACTGGCAAAAGTTTGCAAAATTTATGAGCGACAACGAAATACATTTTAGTGGCAGATTTGGTGCATCGCTGAGCTGGTATTAACAAACTCGACGGATTTCTAACATAACGCGATCGATTTTCTTATGGTGCAAAGTATGCTACAATTGTTCTCCACACATTACTACGACTTCAGATTTTTACGCTAATTGCTGATACCACCCGCCATCCGGGTACAATAATTCAAGTTGCTAGTATTTGCACAATCAGGACGTCATGATTGGTTCTCTCCGTCATCAGATCTCTAGTCAACAACGGCAGCATTCAACGAACATCCCAGTAAACAATGCTGACAGAGGCATATCATGCGCGACTGCACGCTACGATCCACATCGACCTCGCATACTATTAGCTCTCTGTTACATTGTCTCCTTTATACTTGTATGCTGTTTCATATACGATGACTGCAACCAAATTTTCGCCATTGTGCAGCATCCGTCCGGCGCGTTGGCAAGTGGCCTGGTCGAATATATCATCAAGGCAATACTGATTGCTGCCATGATTCGACTGGTGTGCAATCTGGGCTTGAAATGCCTTAGTGCTTATTTTTATGGATTTTTTTATTTAAGGGATGTCTGCGCTGGTGTGTTGGGCAAGTAAACTAAACTACTTACATGTTTGATATCATCTCTATCGGCCAGGAACTAATTATCTGCCACTGTTCATATTCTACTGAGGATCATGACAGTATTGTACTTTTATTACGCTCTCTTTAAGAGTGATTACAATCTGTTTCCAAAAAGTAGGACTCATTATGGCAATTTTAGGCTATTGTGGACTAAATTATTGTGTGCTATTTAGCAACATAAAATGCGCAGCATCGTTTAGAAAACGCGTATTCCATACCACCTTTGGACTATGTCAATAGGTCAATCACTGAAATTGTCGATATAATGCTATAACGGCTCAAAGTCATTGCTAATTTTAACCTGTGCGCTGTTCGTTTGTCCATATCCGGTAACACATAATCGTACAGATCCGGGGGCACACTCACTACTATATATTCGAATTCTCCGGCATTTGGTTCGACTGGAAAGATTAATTAGAAGATAGCACATGTCGAAAACAAATGGCCATAAACTGTCTCCTGCCACATTCCTATCTGCTAACGGTAGCTGCATTTATGGAGACTCAAACTTTATGGGCATCTTTGGAAATAAAAAATTAACTTCGTTTTCGGAAAAGTAGCGTCATACTGCATGTGACTACCTGCTCTCTTCAATGTCCAGATACCAGGACTGATCTTCCTACAAACGGCGAGCAGGCGGTTCGTCTTAGGACGTAAATGGCATTTAGTAGGAAGAGGACACTGCAATCTTAACGCACTTCTTACAGTCTTACTTCTCATGCAAGTAACAAGCTTTTGATACGATTACTAGCTACTTTTAGAAAGACGCTGAAGTTACGCATCAGGGTTTCCAGTACGAACTTATCTTTGCAAAACTTTTCTGAATGTGCGGACAGCTAATTTGCAGCAATGGATTCATGTCAACACATAAGACTCAATGAACATTCAAGATATTATTAGCAGTACAAATTTCTTACTGAAATGGCGACTTACGACATGCTTTTCCCTCGTTATCCAGGACGCTGATACGCCCAATGCGGATATGGAAGCTGGATGATTGGAAGCATACAATCTTAGAAATTGTTGAAGGTCTGGACAAATTTGTGAGCACACACCGAGGAGGCTTGGAGAGAGAAACTCCGTAGTCTATTATTTCTGAAACGCAAAGAAGTTTGATGTACGAATACAATCACTATCAGCAAGTCTTCAAGACAGTGAAAATAGAAACTAGAAATATTATACGACAATAAAAAAACAGTGTCTCTTCCCTGCCAGGGGTCGAACCTGGAATCTCCCGCTTTAACTTCAATCTGATCTGGTGTATCACATCGTAGGCGGACGCCTTGCCATTGGGCCACAAGGAACTTAACAAAACCTAAACCGTAAATGTGAAAACAAATTACTACAAGGGTTAGGGTCATACTACCTTATTATCATGAACCAATACTAAACTAGCTTGCAAAAACAAATAAAAAAATAAAATAAAATAAATAAAATAAAATAAAATAAAATAAAATAAAATAAAATAAAATAAAATAAAATAAAATAAAATAAAATAAAATAAAATAAAATAAAATAAAATAAAATAAA